CAACACCGCCAGCTTCAGAAAGACTGCAGAGCGCCTGCTCCAGTTCTCAGACAAGAAGAAGACGGAGGAGGTCATAGAGAAGATGTTTGCTATGTCCAAGAAACAGGGCAGGGGGAAAGGGGGGAGGAAAGTGAACCTTGGGGAGAAGCTGTCTGAGACTCTACCTGACATTTTCGCACAGGTTGAGGTGAATGAGAAGAAGGCGAGACAGAGGACTTCAAAGCGTACATATGAGGACAGTCCAGAGGAGGGGGAGGGCGACTCGCGGGCCTTTATGGATTATACAGACGGTCGCAAAAACAGAAAGGGGGCTTTTGTCAAGGGCCGCAAATTTAAGGAGGTTCACATGGTGGCCACGGCGGGGAGCGAGGGTCTCTCCAGCACCGCCTCCTACATCCGCCTCTTCCTCCTGCTGAACACGGCCACCTTCTTCCTGCTGCTGGCCGTGCTGCTGACCCGCTTCCAGAGGGGGCGCAGTCTGCACACGCAGAGATGTTTCTACACCATCCTTCTGATCGACTGCTTCATCCTGCTGTACCTCTACTCCTCCTGCTCTCACTCACAGTGTTAACACACCGCAGAGCAATGACCCCATGCTGCCCCCACACCCCGTCTGAGGCAGATTTTAGAACACAAAAGGATAGTTGCCAGCATAGTGAACCCGGAAATGTTGAGGGACCCAAAGTGTTATGTTAGAAATGTATAGTAGGGGTCCCAGCACATAGAAACTGCCGGATGCTAACCTGCATATGTTCAGAATCAGAAACGGTTTATTGCCAGGTAGGTTCACACGTACGAGGAATGTGACTATTTGCACCATTAGCATAAATAGCATTAATTAGCGCATGCAGACAAAAGCAACCATTATTTTGTTCTTTTAAATGGCAGTTTTGAGTCCCCTAAAACTTTCAAATCGGCCCAAAATTCATCAAAATCAGGGTTAGGGTTTAGTTATTGCCACTTTCTGGTTAAAACTGCAATATTTGATCCTGAAAATGTCAGAAATGGATTCAACACCCTCAATAACCTCCAAAACCACTCAAACTGTCCTAGTCGGCCACCCGTGTTTATAACTTGTGTCTGCATAATATGCTAATGAACACAACTTGTGTAAATGCGTGTCTATGCTACGGGCTGGCAAACAGACTACAATATGCAGACCACTTTTCCAAACACATATCTGAGATTTCAAGAAAAATTCTGATAATAAAAATATTTTCTATTAAAAAAGTATTGTAAGAATAAAGTTGTCATTTTAAAAGAAAAAAGTCCCAATGTTTGAAAGATAAGATTATAAGATGATCCTTGAAACCCTTATCTCTTTGATCATAGTCACAGACAGGCTGTCAGCTGCTACTCTTGGAATGAGTGAAGTATAGCTTCTATCTGAGGACAGAGACGACACCATGACATCATGTCTTATCTCATATAAGACTTTCTCTGGGATTAGGACTCTTTATATTATGCTTTTATTCTCTTCACATCATGGCTTTTATTCTCTTCAGATTATGATTATTAGACTTTATACTATAATGCTTTTTGTTTCTCAATATGATTCTTGTTTCTAGCTTTCTATACTTTAAACAAAATGTTATTATGTCTTTTGCTATCATCATATTTTCTTTCTAGAATTTACAACTTTATTTTCCAAATAATAATGAATATTTTGTATATAGCCTTAAAATCACAAATTAGCTTCATTGGGCTTAATTTGTATAAAAGTATATAATTTGTGTAAATTGTAATGTATAAAATTAGAACTGTTTCTAAAATGAGGACGTCTTTATTCTCCTCACATCCTCACCTTTCCCCCGGAGTTATTCTTGAAATCTCAGATGTTGTTGTTTATGGTTGAAGACTGGTAAGATCTACCTCACGGGTATTCAGGAAAAACAGCTGATTCCAAATCAGAATTGATGAGACCAGACCTCCTCTGATGTAAAAGCTTCTGTGGAGCTTCAGAACGAGTGTGTGTGAAGTGTGTGTGTCCGGTCTGTATCAGAGGTCAGAGGTCAGCCACTATGATGCAGGCGCCCCATGTCCTGTCGACATAGTTCATAGGAAAACATTGAAATGTATATATGTGAAAGCAAGATATATTTTTATGGTGTTTTTTTACCATTTGTAAATAAAATTACCAAATGCATTCATTGTGTTTTGTGTCTAGTGAATGTGTGAACTCTGAAATGTTAGTTAAATATACAATATATGTATTGAAGGGGCAAAGAGAGCTCCAAACTGCAGCTCAGACAAACACATCATGAAAAGACCCCCACCCCGGACACAGAACGGTTAGAAAACAGAATAAGTGCAAGTCCAGCAGAACTCATGAGGATATACCCGCAGTTCATTAGTGAAGCTTTTTCAGAGAAACTCTAAAAGGAAGCTTCAGTTTCAGTGTCCTGGTTCCTGCTAGCTCACGGTCCCGCCTACATACAGGATTACACTTAGTTGCAGACACTGAAAAAAACGGACTTTAATTAAATGTATTATGTCAACAAATTACACATTTAAATAAAAAAGATTAGGTTCAACTTAATATTTTTGCTTTCAACTAACCTAGTACAGTTATGTGAAATCTGTTGACATAATACATTTAATGAAAGTCAATGTGAAATGTTTGCATTGACAAAAAAAAAAACATATCTATTTCATTTGGGATTATTAACACTAAACAATATGTTGATGGTCTAAAGAAATAAGTCCAATACATGAGAAAGATGTCGTTGTGATGATACTGAAATGACCTGAACGCAGCATCACTGTCCCCGGGAACGTATCTTGTGTCAGAGCTTAAGTCTGTTTCTGTTTCCAGAGTTTCTTGTGTTCACGTCTTTCAGATTGTGCTTCCCTTATTTGCAGCATATAAATGTGACGTGTTGTCAAAGTGGAGAATGTTTCTTCATTTAGAGTGTTATCAAAGTTTGGCTATCATTTTATTTTTGTCAACAATGTTTTAGTCTCTTTCACATTGCAATGTCCCCACACTGTCTGAGGATCTCTCCAAACTCATTGATGCATTGATCTTTTCATTTAAAAAAAGCAGCTGAGCAACAGCCTGCTCTAACAGGTCAACACGTGACTTTCTTTGGGCTTTCCTCATCAACAGAATCATTTGGGGTTCTTGTGAGTGTTGTGTCATCAGGAATACACTAGTGTGTGTTCATGGTGACGAAGACACACTAGTGTGTGTTCATGGTGACGAAGACACACTAGTGTGTGTTCATGGTGACGAAGACACATGTCACTTTAGCTCTTAATAACAATGGAGCTCTATAGCAAAAAAGGAAGATGATAATCAGGCAGTCATAAAAACACAATGGAATTTGTTGACAAGAAAAAAACAAATAGGATATCAGAAGGCTTTTCCTTTCAAGTTATAACGTGTTAAGGTCTCCTGGGCACCATACTAAATATGTGCAAGGTACACAGTAAAGGAAAACAAAGTCCAATCATCAGTTTTTCAGTACCTATCCCGGATGATATTAGTGTTTCATATTTATAAATATACTTTTTGATGGGTAAATACTTAATCAATCTTCCGGCAAAATCAGTGCAGCATTATAACAAATGTCCAGATGTAGAGACTGTTTTCAGACAGGTTCAGATTCACCAAGCACGTGTTATATAATGGATTTGTGAACATTGGAAGCTTGTAATTATTTAATGATGATAGAATATGTTGCAACTCTGCAAGCCATCACAGTGGACACAGCCTGCCTCTGAGCTGTCGTACTGACTGATGCATCCTCACAATAAATACGATTGCAAAGAAATGATAAACAATCATCAAAAGCACTGCCATGCAAAGCACCTATCAGGCATCACTGCTGTATTTAACATTAATGTAATACATTTATTTCACAACCCTGTTGAAAAAGGAATTCTGTGTACCAGTGATCTGTGTTGTTGCTCAGTGCTCTGAGTGTGGGATCCTCATTGGCTGAGGGCTTGCAGATGTTGTGACTCCACCAGATCCTAACTGGGGAGTTGCACAGCAGAGAAATGAAAAGAATGTCTTTCCATTCCTCTCCTCACAAAAATGCTGTGGGTTGTTTTGTTTTGATTGAGCTGATAATCACTTCCAGATGTGTACCCCCCCCCCCCCCCCCCCCCTTATATAAAGTGACCTCTGCTGTCTGGCCTGGTCAGGACACATGGGGGATGGGAGTGAAGTGTGATTTAGTTCATGTTTAAAAGGCAGAGGTTCGCTTTGTATTTGAGTCCAGCTCTGATAGACCATGAACAAACTCAGAATGAGGCCAACTATTTTATGAGGCCATTTTGAATGTCAGGATACAACATGCTGCCATCTGCTGGCCGGTCCACTGCTCATATGTGCGTTACACTCATAATAATTATGTATTATTACAACATAGATCAGGGATTACATTTCTAAATTTAAACTAGTACTTTTTAGGTATTTTTTTCAAATCCTCAATAAAATCTCCTTTTTTTTAAATAAATGTAGACACTGTAACAGCTTTCCGTTGTTTTATTCATGTGACATCGGTTAATTATTTTTGAAACATTTCTCAGGTTATTATGTTTCTAGAATAGTTTACTCAAATTACAATTGTGAATGATTAAAGTATGTTCTTGTTGGAGGACATTCCTAGGACGACATACATTATGAAAGTGTATTGCATCATTTTCATAGTATTTTGTAGCATTCCTGTATTTATTAGGGCAATTGACAGACACACACACACGGACAGACAGACAGACAGACGGACAGACAGTCAGACAGACAGAAAGACAGACAGACACACAGTCAGACAGACAGACAAATAGATAGACATACACACAGACAGACAGACAGACACACAGTCAGACAGACAGACAGACAGTCAGACAGACAAACAGACAGACAGACAGACAGTCAGACATACACACAGTCAGACAGACAGACAGACAGACATACACATACACACAGTCAGACCATTTTGTTACACTTCGTTCATAAACAATAGGCTCTTTCGTCCACTTGGTGTCGCTGCTTTTTCTCTGTTCGCATTTCTTTTTTTTAAATGACCCTTCTTGCTCACCGTCGTCAGCTAGCTGTGTTTCGTAACATGTCAAACATGGGGGCACGGGTTTCGCGTATGTTCCGAAATTTCAACCTGGAGAACCGTGTTCACCGAGAAATCTCCAAGGAGAAGCCGCGAGCAGCACCCCGCCACGAGGCCGACCTGTCGCGCTCCTCCGGCGGCTCTGAAGGTGAGTGACGCTCCGCGGACAGGTCGCTTCTCCTGCGGGACATGCCGGGAAACCAGCCTAAAGGCAGGGCAGCAGTCATTAAGCTCTGGAGGAAGGTTCTGTAATCCTCTGTTGACGGCCTGTTGTGTTCTGTTTCAGCCGCGGAGACAGCGGAGTTGGTGAGCCAGAAGAACGCCCCGCTGCTGGGCCTCCTGCGCTCCGTGTATGTGGAGTCCAAGGACCCTGCAGCAGCAGAGGTCAGCCCGGGACACTCTGCCCTTCTGTGTGTCTGGGGAGGGAGGCTGCTTCAGTTGAATGCCCTCCATATATACCATTATAAGAATGTTTGATTATTAGAAGCTGAGGTGGGGAAGTACTCAGTAAAAGTGGAAGTACCAGAGTGTAGTAATACAACTTATAACAGAGTATTCCTTACAGGTAAAAGTCCTGCATTCAAATGTTACTCAAGTAAAAGTACACAAGTATTAGCATCAACATATATTTAAAGTACCAACATTGAAAGTAGTCATTGTGCGAGTGGTCCATTTCAGAATAATATATATGATATGTTTTATAATGATTGATCATTAAAGTGTTCTCAAAGCTGGTAAAGGTGCAGCTAGTTTGAATGACTTTGTATACTGCAGGGTAGCTTGTGGATTTACTCCAGGTGGAACTAAAGTCTGATTTAACACTTGATTATATTTCACAGTAAGAGTACACAATTTACTCCTGAATTGGAGTAGAAGTACAAAGTATCATAAAATAGAAATACTCAAGTACAGTAAAAGTATCTCAAAATGGTACCAAAGTACAGTTGTAGAGTAAATGTACAGTTACTCCCCACCTCTGATTAGAAGGTGCTACGGGCATTCTGCTTTATATGAGATTACGTCTTATATTGACATTTTATTATGTATTTCTTTACATACATTTCAAATGCTTATGTTAAGCATCTTAACCTCATCTTATGTTATTTTTTCAATGTGTTTTTTAATTTGGACTTGCACCTCCATCTGTTAACATATGGGCTCAGTGCAGATTGTTATATGTGCTCGAATGTTCCTACTTTGTTAAAAAAGGAATCTTCCCCCCATACACATACTGTATTTCAATCAGGAGAGACTTCATTTTGTTTAAAGAACATTTATTGACACATGCCATATGATAAATGTAAAGTCTTTGGCGATTAGACCCCGATCCTGAAATCGTATATCTAAAGGGGGAAATGCAGCCGTGAGCATATAGATGAAGAGGAAGTGTGATGAGGTTTTTGGATTAGCTCTCCTGGCACTGGATGTGATGAAAGGAGGTGGATGGGGAGGAGGTGGGATGAGGTCTTTGGATTAGCTCTCCTGGCACTGGATATGATGAAAGGCGGTGGATGATGAAAGGAGGTGGACGGGGAAAGGAGGCGGGAGGCAGCATGAACACCTGAAATCACAGCTGACTGCAGGAGAGAGGAGAACCATTTTAAAGTTTGGCTGCAGCACGGTGATTGGCTGCTGGAGAATAAGGTGAATGTAATAGGTTATAGAGAACGCCCGTGATGAGCTGATTATATGCAGCTGCGGAGTGAATGTGTGTATATATGTATATATATATATATATATATATATATATATATATATATATATATATATATATATATATATATATATATATATATATATATATATATATATATATATATACACATGTATATATATATATATATATATATATATATATATATATATACACATGTATATATGTATATATATATATATGTATATATATATATATATATATATATACACATGTATATATGTATATATATATATATGTATATATATATATATATATATGTATATATATATATATATATATATAGGCCTACCCAGTCTTCCTGAAAGAACTTTCAGTTCCTACGCAAATAGTCTGCAGCCTGACACTGTGACTCCTGTCTATACAGGTAGTGATGGGCAAATGAAGCTTTGAATGAAGCATCAAACCACTTGGACAATTGTATCGGAAATAGGTTCATTTCTCGAAGCTTCAGTTACAGCGACCTCTCCTGGCGAAGTGCAAGGCTGCAGTGGGTTTAACGTATCATTGCCTTGAAACATATTCGATGCACACACACACACACACACTAATGGCGCATTTCCACTACACGGTCGGCCTCGGCCACGCTCGGTACTGCTTGGCCGCGTTGGGCCTTAACAGGGCCGGCTCACTTCATGCTGCGCTTCCATTACAGTTTAGGAACTGGGGTAGTTACTATAGTAACGCAGTGTAGGCGGAGCCGTGACGTCATCTTCAATGAGAACCCCAGAAACACAACACAGCCGTTAGCTGTTAGCACTCAGAGCTCACAGCTCCTCATATATGTTCAGAAACTCGACAAAAGTGAAACAAGTACAAACCACAGACTGCCTGTGTCATGGTGAATACAGTCGCTGCTTTATTTATGTCTGTATAGGCCGTTGTTGTGAGTGTGGACGGTCGGAGCATATACTGCGTTAGCTTAGCCAATCTCCATTTAGAAAACACGCATTTTAAAAGGTTTTTCGCCTGCCGTCTGTCTGCAGACTTGACAAAGCATTAATTCATGGTTTTTACTAACCGGTATCAGTATGTTGTTACTTCGGCATCATTTTGAAACGTGTATTACAATTAAATCACGGTCAAATATGTCCATCTTGTTGTAGTTGTAGCCCCCTTGCCAGCGATGCTCTCTCTAGTTTAGCATACTCAGCCCGACTCAGCCCTGTTTGTTGGCCCCGATAGAACCACAATTTTGTCGGGCCAGAAAAGAGGTGAAAAAGTGGCCCCGGGCCGGGCCGTAACTAGGCCTAGTGGAAGCGCAACCAAAAACGGGCACGGCACGACACGGCACGCTTAAACCGCGCTCCGCGCCATGGTGGAAATGCGCCATTAGACTGAATATCATGTTCTATTTGCAATTAAAGATTGATAATTGTGTGAATTGGGTTATTGAGAAGAGAGTGCTGGACAATGTGGCATTGGTTGGGTGTGCTTGTGTAATTATGGCAGGACGTGATTATGTGGGATGGGGAACACTCAAAGATCTTTATTGAGGTAATTATTCTTTTTATTTTATTTATTTTTGATCAGTTATAGTATTAAAGTTGAAAATCGGGCAATGATTAAAAGTTCATCCATTCTAGGATTTGAACCTGTTGCACGGAGGACGTCGCCGCATACGGGCCGCCGGCTCTATCCACTGGGCTATCTATTCTTTAAAATACTGATAATTGTCTTTTTGTTCACAACGACCTATCTTTCTTCCTGGCTTGCTCTATAATGATCCAATACAAATGCAATACCAACAACAACGCAAACTATGACAACAACGCACAAAATTGAAGACACTGAACCAGCAAAAGTTGGATTCATCACTTGGAGCAGCTCACACATTACCCACATTCTTTGACCCATTGTTCATGTAAACATTGATTAGTGAGGCAGAGCTTGGCACAGTCTGTATTTAAACTGGGCCTGATGGTGTGGCTATAAAGGGCCAGGAGTACACCAGGTGCTGCTCACAGGGACATCTCTTCTCAGTCGAGGTGTATTTGCAAACCTCCTGTGCTTTCTCTTCTCACAGGCATCACAGGAGGTGAGCGTGGAGACAGAAGGTGCGCGGCGGCCGCTCAGGTTCAGTTTGCCGGGGGGGCAGTACGGCCTGGTGGAGCTGTCAGACGTTCCTAGAGGGAAGCTGACCATCGCTGAGACCCTGAAGGCCCTGGGCAGCCACCAGAGCCAGCCTCAGACCTGGACCCCGGGAAAGATCGCTCAGGAATATTCTCTGGACCTGAAGGACACAAAGGCTCTCCTGGAGTTCTTCATCCCCTTCCAGGTTCACATCATACCCCCCAAGACTCAGAGTGCCAAGCAAATAAAGGCTTCCTAAGACTGGATTGTAGGTGAAAGGAAGCTCATCTAAATCCCAGAGACTTCAGAGCATCTAACCCCCCCCACCCCCCCTGTTAGGAGAGACGCCATCCTGTGCAAGACTGAACCTCAGTGCTGTCCCTGACATGATACTCCTGCTGCACAGGTCAGAGGCCATGTGAGAGCATCCTGATATTAGCTTCTCCTCAGCTGTAAACACAAATACATTGAAGCACAGAAAGTATTGCATTTGGTCTTTGTTCCCAGCAGACATTTGGACTGTCATAGCAGGAAAAGCATGGGTGTTACCAACAACATTTATAAGGGCTGTTGTGTATTAGCGTGTTCCAGTAAGCTGTGACTGACGCTTCTGAAGGGAAACCGGCCCTCACTGATCCTAGTGTTTACTCCGGTGCTCTTCTGTCAACTGTCCAAATGTCCTCTGGGGAAAGGCTGGATTTCAAATGTTCTGCCCAGCTCATCACATCATGATCATCAGATTGAATAAAACATATTTGGGTTTCAGTCAAATAAAAGCATATATAAAATTATTTGAGTGGGATAATAAATGAATAATTGCAATATTAACCGTTGTAAGAAACATAAGAACATAATTATGTCTAAGAGAAATGTTAATGTTGGACAGATTGGAATATGATTTAAATTAAAACCAGTGTTTTAGTAAAGTTCTGAATATTAAAAGTTCACTATCCTACGGATATGTTATTCTGTTAAGATGTTGGGATTCTGCAAATGTTGAAACCGTGAAAATGTGTTTTTTCTCATGATTAAATGCCGTGTTAAAGCATAAGGCCTACTTTTGAATCATCAAGTCTGTTGTGGACCAGTCGAGATGCAATCCGGTTCAAAAGGACGAGCCCTGTCATTTACTTTCAATAAACCCTCGGTCAAGTGTCACCGGCCTCTCAGGAGCACATTGGGTCTTCCCCTAAGGGTTGGATCTCTATGAAACACGAGTCATGTAATGAGTCCGAACTAAGATGTGTTGCAGACTCTGAGGCCTAGTGGAGTGGTACACTGGATACACGAGCAGTAAAGTGGTACACTGGATACACGAGCAGTAAAGTGGTACACTGGATACACGAGCAGTAAAGTGGTACACTGGATACACGAGCAGTAAAGTGGTACACTGGATACACGAGCACTAAAGTGGTACACTGGATACACGAGCGCTATAACCTCTGCAGCTTGAACACATGTAGAATGTTGTGATGTGAAACAGCAGATTCATGCTGACTGCACAATTACAGGAACAATGGATATAAGAGTTTGATCAACCCAGTTTATGATCATCATTCAAATATTATTATTTGTGTTTGTTTCTTAAACAGCTGAATATTAGAGCAGTTCTGTTTCACTGGCTGGTGTGCTGCGTCAAGCATGTATTCATGTTTTTAATGATTTGCAGCATCCTAAAGTGAATGTACACAGACCTTCTGAAAATAAATGATTGTTGTGTTTATGTTATAAGAGGTGTTGCATTTCTGATTTAAAGTGATTGAATGGGGTCTGGGAATTTGAAAAGTATTGTTTAAAACATATTAATATATTAATTTCATTTGGCAATAACTTTGGTTGTGTTACTGCAAATGGCATGATTTTTTGTAACATGGCTATTTTCTCCATATAATTTTGAATTCCAATTTCAATTTTTCAAATGGGTCTTCAAAAAGTGACTACCCTAATTGACCATTCGGGACAAAAATGTCCACTGCCAAAAAACTTTGATAAAAACATATTAAAATATAGAATATTTTTCACCACTTTTTTGGGTTCAATCTTTAAAGCAACTTCAGCCCTAATCAAAAATACCAAATGTTTTATCATTTTCAGGATTTTAACCCTTTAAATGCCATTTTGAATACATGAAATTGCTGTTTTTCATGATAAAAACGGAGAAAATTAGTTATTTTCCATAGAATACATATCTGGGGACTGGCTCTTTTTTTTTATCAGTCTTGGATATGTCAAAGATTAGCAACAACATTGATTTTGGTGCATTATTATGAGTCAGATTTAAAATATACTACCCTAATTAGTCATTCGGGACAAAAATGTCCACTTCCAAAAACTGCTATAAAATGATAACAGATTATATGTATATATTTTAAAAAACTTTTTGGGGTTAAATCTTTCAATCAACTTCAGTCCTGATCAAAAATACCAAATATTGAATTATTTTCAGGATTTTAACCCTTTAACTGCCAGTTTGAAAATATGATGTCGCGTTTTTTAAGAAAAACATGCACAAAAAGGTTATTTTCCATATAATAAATGTTGGTGGCTTTTTCTTTTTTTTATCACAGTCTTGGATATGTCAAAGATTAGCAACAACATTGATTTTGGTGGATTATTAGTTTTTGCACAGAATCAGATTAAACAAAAAACTCACACATTAGCCACTCGTGGACAAAAATGTCCCATTCACTCCCATTATAACCACCTCCTTTGATCTCTCCGCCATACCGGTATATAATCATGCATTTTGTAATGTCAGGGTTTTATTTTGGAGGAAAATTGTTCAATTTGTCATTTTGACTGTATATCAAAATCAAATCAAATCAAATCATGTTTTATTTATATAGCACATTTAAAAACGATTTTTGGTCGAGCCAAAGTGCTATACATGCAATAAAAAACACTTTACTACAATAGCAAACAGAAGACAATAATTTACAACAGCAAATATAAAGATAAAACACAGGGAAATGTCAGGAGTCGTGCTCCGCTCTGACTATAAGGCCAGAGAGAAGAAGTGAGTCTTTAGTGTCGATTTAAAAAACCATAGGGTCTGGGCCGACCTCACATGGAGGCACAGACTGTTCCAGAGCCTGGGGCCAGCTGCTGCGAAGGCTCGGATGTGACATTTTACCATTAAATGACATGCTTGTCATTTCTTGGTTTCTGGGCCTGTTGTATAATGGGGCCCTGCCAGCCATTGGAATACATGTATGCAACTCATATGGTGTAGGTGTGCTGGTATGGATGTGGAAGAGTGGTATCAGCTGAGAAATGTGTGTGTGCGTGTGTGTGCGTGCGTGTGCGTGCGTGTGTGTGTGTGTGTGTGTGTGTGTGTGTGTGTGTGTGTGTGTGTGTGTGTGTGTGTGTGTGTGTGTGTGTGTGTGTGTGTGTGTGTGTGTGTGTATAGTGTGTGTGTACAGAGAAAACAATATACAGATTTGGTTTACAGCAAGTTGCAGTTTTCGCCTCATATCTTTCTTTCTTTCTCTCTCTCTCTCTCTTTTTCTCTCCCTCCCTCATTCCCAAACTCATACACACTCGTACATATTAAACCTCCTTATACCTTGTATGTGTGTGAGTGATTGTGTGTGGGAATGAGACAGGACTAAGTGTGCTCTCATGGCGTTTTGTTTTTCATTTGTGCTGTTTCATGTGTCTTAGAGGTAAACAGATGTATGATCTTGACCTCAATGTTTTGAATTGTTTGGAACTTCAAAGTCCTTTGATAATGTCTCTTTAGAAAACAGACATACACAGCCATACATGCACTCCTTCAAGTCAATAAAAACACCTGGCTGCAAAGCCAAAGCTTCAAATATGTGCAGTTTGGCTGGCTGGTCATTTCATTCCTGTGATACGCAACAAGCAGTAAGATGAAGAGGAGCTTCTCTGTGGGACAAGAGTTCTCATGCAGCCCGTAACTTCAGCTGCAGGACTCATCCTCTGAAACAGAAACACCCTGAGAAGGAGCATCTGGTGTGGATCTGCCTGAACTGTGCTTGAAAGGAGTCGGCACAAACATAAAACTGCGACTTGCTGTAAACCAAATCTACTGTATATTTTTGTCTCTGTACACACACACTGTACATACAGACACACACACACAAACACACATTTCTCAGCTGATACCACTCTTCCACATCCATACCAACACACCTACACCATATGAGTTGCATACATGTATTCCAATGGCTGGCAGGGCCCCATTATACAACAGGCCCAGAAACCAAGAGATGACAAGCATGTCATTCAATGGTAAAATGTCACATCTGGTGATATACAGTAAAAAGGACAAATTGAACAATTTTCCTCCAAAATAAAACCCTGACATTACAAAATGCATGATTATATACCGGTATGGCGGAGAGATCAAAAGATGTGGTTATAATGGGAGTGAATGGGACATTTTTGTCCGCGAGTGGCTAATGTGTGAGTTTTTTGTTTAATCTGATTCTGTGCAAAAACTAATAATCCACCAAAATCAATGTTGTTACTAATCTTTGACATATCCAAGACTGTGATAAAAAAAGAGCCAGTCCCCAGATATGTATTCTATGGAAAATAACCTTTTATCATGAAAAACGACAGCGATTTCATGTATTCAAAATGGCATTTAAAGGGTTAAAATCCTGAAAATGATAAAAATATTTGGTATTTTTGATTAGGGCTGAAGTTGCTTTAAAGATTGAACCCGAAAAAGGGGTGAAAAAGATATTTTAATAAAATGTTTTTATAAAGGTTTTTGGCAGTGGACCTTTCTGTCCCGAATGACTAATTAGGGTAGTCAATTTGAATGATACCGGACGGTTCAATATCCCAACCACACTAAATGAAATGTTGATATCACCGAGCTCACTTTTGCAACAACAGACTCCATTTGTCATCTTTGCCCCCCACCACAAGCACTCGCGCGTGCCCAAAAAAGCAGTTCCTGCAGCTAGACTCCGCCCATTTGGACATTTCGTCCTTTCTATTGGCCCCCGCTGTGTGTGGGGCGTGCAGCATGATGAGTCTGCTTGTGTCCCTGCAACTGGCTCCTCAGGGTGTCAGTTATCACTGAATACAGAGCTGCGTCCAGCTAACGAGCAGAGCACGGAGGCTGCCGGAAATCTGCTGTTATCCCTTCAAAATAAGGGAAAGTAGTTTAACCGCTTATACTTTGTTCTTTTTTCCAGTGTATTGAAAGGTAAGCTATATGATAGATTGCTTGCACTGTTACACTGATCAGAAGTAGACTATAATACATTCTCGCTACATTCTGTGATGCATCATGCAACGTTACTCTGAGATTCTTCTGTACTTTTACTAATGTATCCTTCAGCGCCTCACCCTCCAAGTATTTTTTTCACTAATCAAACTGCAGAGATCATATTTACTTTTACTCATCCACAACAGTATTGTTCTGCATAATTACATTTACATTCAAATTGAATCAATTTCATGATGTGCCAAAATGTTCGGTAGGCTAATATGCCTTCTACCAAAGATATGACTTAACCTTCACTAACTGCTGTTCTTTTTTCTTCTTGAAGTGTGTTATAACTCAAAGAAATTGGTCTACAGTTTTATTTGTATACACTGCTCCTAGTAGCCTACTAGGAAGGGTAAAAAGCAGAGAACACATTTCACTGTGTGTGCTGTGTGCATGAACATGTTTGACCAATAAAGAGGGTTTCATCCTCCAATTCTAGTCTAGTTTTATTTTGAAATTCCATACAGGAAGTGGTGTGTGTTTCCGCTCGCTGCCTTGCCACAGGTTGCCGACAGACCGATTGTAGTTTGTAACAGTGAGGTGATAATTTGGGCTACATGCAGAACACAGTCTGATACACTCTGTGCGACAGGAGGCTCTCCAATATCTCACATCTGTCGGGAGGACGGGGAGGGAGAAGAAGCCTAATATTTTCCTTGCGACATTTAACGTGGATAAGCATCGCGGTGTCTCGTGCTCCTCCACAAAGCGACAGGAACCAGATGCGGACTGGACTTTCTCTACGACTTCACTGGTAGTGCTCAGCGGCGGGCTCTCTGTGGGTTACACTGCACGGCTACAGGCCTCACGGAACATCTGGAGGAGCACCACCGGACCGCTGTGTGAAGGAGAACCGGCTGTGAGAGCAGGAGGAGCGGAGAGATGCACCGCCAGGAGGACTGAGCCTCCCCCGCCCGGATCATGGGAGAGCAAAGCAGGTAACCACCGGAAACCACAACAATATGGCAATGTTATTTTACCTAAATGTTGACCGTCGTAGAGCTCAGTTGGTAGAACTGGACCCTGTGCGGAGGACTAGGGTTCGAATCCGGCCTGGGGCCAGTCGCCTGTCTCCCCCTTCAACACTGTCAATATTAAGGCATGGTGGCCCAACAAAAATAATTAAATATAAAAAATGTTGGTTGAGTCCTGAATCGAAACCGTAGGTGTGGGCTGTGTGTCTGCTCTGCCGTCCACAGACAGTCTGTGTGCCTCTTCCATTTTGGTGAGAACAACAGGAGGCTGAAGGATCTGAGGCTCTTATGGCAGCTGCATCAGGTGGACGCTGCTCTGAATGTGGTGTCATTGTCACAGTGATTTTCCTAACATGAGTTCATTTTCCTTCAGAATATCATTCAATCTGAGTCTCTCCTCGACACCACCCTGTGTTTAAAAAAAATGGCTACCTGTGGTTAAAGTCAGAATAGTGCACTGATTTACATATTCTAACAATATTAACCTTAATACAGAAAAC